AGCAAGTCCAAGAGGTAGTAATCAGTCCATCGTATCATGGATACCCAGCAGGGAGGGGATCCAGTATCCATCAGTGATGTGGAGGACGTTAAAACCTTCTTTGATAACAACCAAATTTTTGAGAAGGAGATGGCGTGTTAATTACGATAACAAAACTATATAATATCAATTACCACCATCGTTCACATATTTCCTTATAAAATTTCTCATTTACAGCAAAACTCTTATTTCTCACCCAGGCAATGGTTATATCCAAAAAACCTGTCTTCACATATTTACATGTTTTCAGATTATTAAGATAAATTCGCAAAAATTTTCGTAATTTACGCTTGCAATTCGTTGATGAAAGAGTAGAGAGTGTACAACAGCCAAATGGAAGGACTGACAGGGCCAACAGACAGCATCGAGGAGGGCGTCAGGGGTAGAAAACGGAAGAGGGGGGAAGACTTACCTAGTGTAAATTCCAGACTTTAAGAGGACCCTTACAGCTTCGTAGAGCACAACCATCCATTTAAGCCAAAAATCATCATGGGCAATCCAATAGCAAAAAATCCTTGCTATTACGAAGCTGTTAAGGAAGTGCTTACATCCATAAAGGCAGAGACCACAGGGGAGACCAGAAAATGGACAATAGTTGGATGTGATGGTCTGCCTTACCTAATTGGCAACAAAGTTGTTGAGCAAGAAAAAGATCTACAAGACATCCTTCTTGTTCCAGGACTTGGTCTCTTTGAAATAAATATGAAAAAGGTATGTTTGAAAATCATGGCAAGTAACATGATTTTTAAGGTGCAATATTATTATATCATTAATATTTTAAAATATTACAGCCATCATCAAATTGGTATGGGACATTTTAGGGAAAAATTTGGGCAAATGCTGGGCTGCAGCCAAAACTCTAAACGCACGCCATGATGCCAACGACCATCATAAAGCCTTCCAGTTTGTGGAAATACTACTTTATGGCACAGGTCTTTGCACATACATCCTCTATATATAGGCTGTCCAAAGTCAATTTTACGTTAAACGTCACCTCTAAAATTTAAAACGTACAAATGAGAGAGGAAAAAAAATAAACAAACAAAAATGTTACACTACTGTGAATTTATTCAAATCAACCAATTCAGTACATAAAAAAAACACTACCCAGCAATAAGAATATTTGAATTGATATCCAATTTCCTAAACAGAGAGTTTTTCCTTAGTATGTATATTGGTTTGAATCCTTTTGTGAGCAAGGAGTGTAGACTGAATGAGCAGAAGTGTGGCTTGTAACTAGGCCTAGTAGTATGTCCATTGGATTTATATTACCACATACATGGTACCCTGTCGGGAAATGCTTCTTCTCGTGGAAATAGTTGAACAATATCTACAAATAAAATCATGATGACAATATTTAATGCATTCTTTATTGAAATATCTTGACATTGAACTATGATGTATTTATTTTTCTCATAGTGTTAGCATCTGGTTTCGAAAATTTGTTTCATGTGTACCATTAAAGCTGTTAGATTATTTTACCTTGATTTTCACACACATGACAGGATTCTTCACTTCTTGGAATACAGCAATTCCCTTCCTTATTCTCTTTCACTTGAAATGTCCCCCTTCTGTAAACTTCTCCCTGCTCAAAAATCTCAAATGTCAATGAATAGAATTATTTTTCTTTAAACTGTAGTCATTTGTAGGTACATGGAATACTGTGTACATGATTAAATCAACTAACTGTTCCCTCAACTTTTACAAGAATATTTTAAGATGAAAATATCAAAGAAATTTAAACAAATTTTACCGATAAATTTATTATGAAAGCCTACTACATATATGTAATAGTCTTTCGATATATAAATATATTCACAACTTTTAGTGTTATCAATGATTTACCATTATTTCGATGACAGTTCACACGAAAGTTTTTTTTAATTTTCATGCAGTTTTTCTTTTTAACATCGGACTCGATGCTATATGTCGGATTGATGTTCTAGAAGCTTCCGTCAATATTAAGATCGGTGAATGACAAAAATAATTTGCACATTTCTCTTTTGAATCGGTTATAACAACTTTTTTTAATATCATTTAAATCAGGTTTTGATTGAATAATTCAGTGATGACGTTTTATGAAATAAGTAAACGATTGCTTGTTGTCAGTTTCATTAAAAATTGCCAGTAACTTAGATCCGCCAACCGGAAACGCCACCGTACTCAAGTTTTTGCTATTTCATGGCTGTTTATAGAAAATGAAAGTAGACTTTTAATTTAATGTACGATACTTACTATGCGAGTGAAATCTAAATATAGTTTACGGACATCATCTTGTATCTAGTATATTCTTAGAGGAGTAAGTAAGGACTCTGGTGCACCCGCTTCGGAGTATTTGCAAAATTTATTAGTTTATTAGTATAGATGTCTGTCAGTTGATTCGATACGCAAGAGCATGCTCTACGTATGAACAATTTCTGAAACGAAGCAAGCTATTGACAAACAAGTTGATGAAACAAGGATATCAACAGTCTCGTTTGAAGTCATCATTTCGCAAGTTTTACGGTCGATACAATGACCTTGACAGTACCTAACATTGAGTCAAATGCAGACTGACGTTTTTCATACTAATTGTTAGACCATTATTTATACACTGAACTGTCTACGTATTTTTCCGGTTTTTTCCTGATCATGACAAGGAGCACACGGCAGGTGTAACCGGTCAGCAGGGGATGCTCACTCCTCCATGGCACCTGATCCCACCTTTAAATTTTAAGTCCTTGTTTGCTCTGCTCCAAATTTGTATCGTTTCATTGAACTTTCGAGATTGAATACTGTTCGTTATCTTCATATTTCACTCTAGCCCACAGGTGCTTGTGGACAGGACCCACCCCCCCCCCCCCACCCCCCGAATATACACCCTGGGTCCAAGAATATTTTTATTCGTCTTTTTCCATGAATTAATCTTCTAGTACACATTTACAATGCATTCCATATGAAAAATGCAAAAAATAACGTAGAATTAACGTTTTTTTAAAAAATCATACCTGCGGTATTATAAAATAGAGAAGGTAAGTCACTTCCATTTGTTAACACTGCACCCCTCTTGGATATCGGGCCTAAAATATCATATACCAACTACATGTCACCAAAATGTGTCATTATATCTTGTTTCGGTAGATATTTGTCTTTAAAAAAATATTGATGACTACCCTAACTCATCTCGAAAATCTGCAGCAAAATTAAATTGTAATGAATCGATTTCGACTTCTTAATCAGATTTTTTCCCGAACTTTTTCGAAGATCTCTGGCTTTTCCCTTAATTCTGTAACACTCGGAACTCGAGAATTACCCGCTAGGTGTCGTTTCTGCATCACTTCCGTAATTTCTACTTTGACATTTCCAAATCTTGTATTTTCCACGTTTGACGATGAATACTCGGATTATTGTGGAATGCCTGGGCAATTAAATAGCACGATTAAAGACAAAAATATCTACTGAAACAAGATATAATGACACATTTTGGTGACATGTAGTTGGTATATGATATTTTAGGCCCGATATCCAAGAGGGGTGCAGTGTTAACAAATGGAAGTGACTTACCTTCTCTATTTTATAATACCGCGGGTACGATTTTTTAATAAAACGTTAATTCTACGTTATTTTTTGCATTTTTCATATGGAATGCATTGTAAATGTGTACTAGAAGATTAATTTATGGAAAAAGACGAATAAAAATATTCTTGGACCCAGGGTGTCTATTCGGGGAGGGGGTGGGGGTGGGGGGTCCTTGTCCACAAGCACCTGTGCTCTAGCCCACTGATGAAAGAAGAAATCGGTGTGCTCTTGTTCTTTTTCAAGGTAGAACCTTTAACTTCAAAACTATTTATTACAATTCAATTTTTGTAACATATTTAAATTAAACAACCCAAATTATTCAACATTCAATTAAAAAACCGCTCACAAATTCGTAAAGAAGCAAGATTTATGAGGAACTATTTCTTGTGGTGGAAGGATATTTAGAAGAAAATTATTCAAATCTACACATGTGTTAAATTTAATGTCTTGGAACTTTAGTCCCACACATTTTTACGCAGAGAATATTTTCCGTTATTATATGCTAGAAATATTAAATATAGGTCTCAATTTATCTTTTTAGAACAAATTTTACACATTCACTCAACAGAACTTGCCAAGAAATGAAGATATATTAAAGAAGTCAAGATAAAATTTACACAGTTTTTTGCCTGAAAATCGCACATTTTGACCAATATCTCAAAATTTACATCACTGATCCCAACTTTTTCTTTCATTATTTTAAACAGCACGATACTTTCAACCGATCAGCACTCAAGTCATAAAAAGTTTGATACAAGAAAATGTTTTGTTGCCTATTCAGATATTTTATACCCAGATATGATACTTTGTTTAGTGCAAAAAGGTCACACAATAATTTATGCGCACTAATTTGCCTGATTTGTTCAATGATAAATATTATTCAAACTATTTTACGTAAAATAAGGTTATATTCATTGCCATAATTACATCTGATAAAATATGAAAAAGATTAAAGTGCTTAACCAAAGAGTTATAATTTAAGTGCAAAAAGGTCAACTTAATTGTACCGTAGCTCAATAAGATGCACACTGACCCCCCATTTTCTTTGCGATTTTGAGTCATGTTATATGAGTACTTATCTAAAATATACTTCTCAAAAAATCCTTGATATAACTAATTTCACGAGTGACGTACCTTAATTTATACTAGATAGTGTAATTTCATTGGACAAAACAGTCACATGTCTTTGTTTTTATATAGTATAAAGAATGTAGGTATAGAGCCACGCCCCCTTGGCAACAGTGAGCCGAAACTATTTTTTACCATTATTTCCTGTTTACATTAGAGTTTATAGTAAAATGTTAATCATTTTAAAAAATTAATAAATAATTTTAAATAAATTCTTTTAATTTTTTTTTTTGCTATCTTATGGTAAATTACACAATAATTATGTCAATAAATAGTCAAGGCACTAATAAGATGGAACTATATGAGTTGTGATTTGTTGTCGTCTGCACAATGGCAGATTTTGACATGCTGGGGGTAGGAGAAAATGTTGAAAATGAAGAAATTGACTGGGAAACCCTTCATCAAATCTTTGATGGGGAATTTGATGCATCAACATCTAGAAAGGAGGCTGAGGAAGAGATGGAAATGGTTTTAAATCCTATTAAAACAGAGGAAACCATGCTGAGAGACCCAGACTCAGACTGCAGGAAAAAAAGATTCAAAACTGTTAATGAAACAGAGCTGCAGGAATTGAAAGAAAGAAGGCAGTCAAAAGCTACAAAGTTTAATACAAAGTGGGGAGTAAATTTGTTTCAAGGTAAATGCATGTTTTAACTTTTATAAATGTAAATTATATCAAGTCATCAACATTTTTAATATCCAGATTGGGACTTGAACCCAAATTCCCCACACAAATTGCATGGTTGCTTTACCATTAAGCTATCTGGATTGATATGAAATATGACTTGATAAATTGATTTAAAAAAAAAAAGGCCCCCCCCCTTTTTTGTAGAATGGAGTGTTGAAGCTTTGGGACAGCCAACTGATTTCCACAAAATTTCTGCTACTGAGCTGAATAAACAACTTGAAAAATTTTATGCAGAGGCTACACTTAAGCCCAATGAAAAAAGAGCACAATCTATGACAAAAGAACAAGCAACAGAATATCACAGTAATACATATAAGAGCATATGATCAGCAATCAACCGCCTTGTCCACGACATTGGACGCCAGCTTGACATAGTGCGTGACAGAGAATTTAGGGGTAGCAATAATGTCCAATCTGATTAAAATCAGATCCTCGATGCTCCTTTTTAACGATATGTCGCTTACGAGGATCTGAAGAAGCCCAATAGAGGGTCATCTCCTGGTGACCTTTATATTATCCAATCAAACGACCGCTTGCGAGACTCTGTAAAATCTTCGGAATTCAAAATTTTATTAATAACTCCCGATGCAATACGAATGAGGATTTAAAACGAAAGTAGAAAATGGCGGCGCCTGCTACGCCGACGAAAACGTGTGCTCTCAGTGATATTTGTGTTCTCTGCGGGTTTTCTTTCATTCAGTATGAAAAGAAAGACAATGGTGAGGTTATACTACATAAACATTTTGACCGGAAACTCAGGTTTACCACTGAGAGGGTAGAAAATGTTTATAAAATAACTGGTATCAACTTTTCAAGCAACAGTGCCGTATGCCTGAAATGTTATAGAAGTGTGGACAGTGTGATAAAATCTGAACAGAAAAACGAGAACATAAAAGCAAACATATGTAGCATGGCTAGGAAAATTAATGAAACACATCTGCTACAGCTACCTTCTCCCAGAAGAAAGGTTATTACGAAACGGATGCTACGAAGTCCAGTGGTAATGCAGTCAGCAAAGAAAGGCAAGACATTTAATATAGAAGCTGTTAAGTATATACCTGTCCATATAGCACCTTTTAAAGAAATAACTAATACAGGTGATATTGATAAGCCAAAGACTGTACGGAGATCACTAGAATTTCAGGATGTGAAAGTGAATCCTCAAGCCATTCAAGGTGAAATTGAGGTAAGTAATTAAATTACTTGTTCGTTATTCGTTCAATTCAGAAGATGTTTTTTTGGAAACAGTTTACCATGTTAATATTACAATTTTACATCAACCCACTTCAACACCCAATACCTATCATATCCACGATATTTTGGGGGGATCAAGATATATATTTGAAATAAATTAACTTTCATGTTCTAAAATAAATATTTACAAAAACAAAAATACACAAATGTGTTAACTACTTTCTACAAATTTCTGCATCTGGTAGTATATTAAGATTCATTCATGTTACAGTTATACCCATACTTTCCAATAGGTGATATTATTTTGAAATAATAATTGAAACAAGAGGCCCATGGGCTACAATGCTCACCTGAATCATTTTGGCGCTGTTGTTCTTCATCAGATTTGTCCCCTATATACGAGTGTATTCCTATGTAAAATTTTGATTCACCTTTTTGTGGCCACATCCTATATACAGGGGCCAAGGTATGTATAAAATTGAATCTACACTACCAGAGTATACTTCAATATAAATAAGAATAACCATGGCTTTGCTGTTCTTCAGAGAAGGTTTTTAAAATCTTTTCCTATGAATAATTAATATGAAAAACTATGATCTGCTATTGTCATCCCACCCTATCCCTGGGGGTTCAAGATTTCAACAAACTTGAATCTACACTACGTAAGAGTCGCCGGCGTGGCGCAGTGGTCAGAGTGTTCCCTCTAGAGTCATGGAGTAAGGAGCTGATCCTTACTTCGCGGGTTCAAATCCCACTGGAACGTGGAGACCGGTCCTTCAGATGAAACCGAATAAACCGAGTTCCCGTGTCGCATTAGATGTTGGCACCAAAAAGATCCCTCACTGCTCAATTGCCCTGAGTGCGGAGTATAGGTCAAAATTTGCAGCTCTCCACCGGCAAGTGGTGGCGTCCCCATATGAGTGAAAAATTCTCGAGGGACGTTAAACAATAAACAAAACAAAACAAACAAACACTACGTTAGAGTGCTTCCACATTTAAAAAATGATTCATCATGGTTTCATTTTTCCTGAGAAGTGAAGTTTTAAAGACTTTTTCTCATAAAGTTCGATTTAAACTTTGATTGGCTATTGTAGCCTCACCTTGTTCCTAGGAGGGGAGGGGGGTCATGATTTGAACAAACCTGAATCTACACTACCTAAAGTTGTTTCCATATTAATTTGACTAATCATGGCTTTGCTGTCCTTGAGATGATCTAATAAAAATTTTTTTCATATACAATCTATATTGAACTTTGATTCCCTGTTGTGGCCCCAGCCTACCGCCGGGGACCAAAGTGTGAATAAATTTACAATTTACACTACCTCAGGGATCTTTCACCTATGTTTCATCTTTTCTGAGCCAGTGGTTCTTGAGAAAAAGATTTTTCCTATATATTTCAATTTAAAACTTTGATTCCATAATGTGGCCCCACCCTATCCCGGGGGCCATGATTTGAACAATTTAGAATCTACCCTACCTCAGGAAGATTTCACATAAGTTTACGCTTTTCTGGTCCAGTGGTTCTTGAGAAAAAGATTTTTAATGACCCCACCCTATCTTTGTCTTTTCTTAATTATTTCCCCTTGGAGGGGACTTGGTCCTTCATTTTAAGAATTTAAATTCCCTAGGTCTTTACTCAAGGATGGTTTGTACCTACTTTGGTTAAAATTTGCCCAGTGGTTCTTGAGAAGAAGTTGAAAATGTGAAAAGTTTACGGACGAACAGGGTGACGGACGACAGACAGTGGATGATCAGAAAAGCTCACTTGAGCTTTCAGCTCAGGTGAGCTATTAAAAACCTGTAACTCAATCCAGATATCATTATAACTGTAATACAGCACTATTATTTGCAGCCTGATTTGTTTTTGTTTTGTTTCGTTTGTTTTTTTTAATTAATGAATACTAACAAATCTTCAGTTTTGTTTGTTTTTTTTTATATTGCTTATTTTTTTCTTCCAGAGTTAGATTGTTGCAGTCGTTATTTCAGATATAAACACCATCCAGCATAGATGAAACTAAGGTATTTTTATCATCAAATTCCATGTCAAGATTAAAAATAATACAAAAAACTATGTTAGTTACATTTACATTTTGAATGATGAAAGTCAAGAAGCAAGAAAAAGTTGAATGTATTCCAGAAATATCTTAATATTGCTATTCCTGTATAACCATGAATAAGTGATAATCACTTGTTAATTTATTTTGTTTTTATAAATGTTATTGTTTTTACTTCTTCAATATTTATTGATAAATGAATATGTATGTTTAGATTATATATGATATCCATTTGTAAGTAAATTCTTTTTTCATTCTACAGATAACCATTGCATACCCAAGTGGAAGAAGAACAGAGCTTGTAAGAAATGAAACAGAACAGAAAATATGTAGAGCTATTTTTAATGGTAGGTCCTCAGGAAATGCCAAAAATGCTATAATTGCTGTAGTATCCACAGCTTACAGGAAGGAGGTTGTTACAGCAGTGTCACACATCATTAGTTGTGAATCAAAAGAACTCTGTAAAAGAAATTCAGGAAGCATTCTCCAGCAAAAAGACCACAACAGTATATTAGAATTTTCTTGGGATAAGTTTTAAAGGGAGCTTCACATCAAAGCACCAAACACCCTGAGAGTTATTCAGTCAGCAGTTAGTGATGTTCCAGTTGCCATTGGTGAGAAGAAATTCATAAACTTAATGCTTACAGTAGCTTCAGCATTTCACGGACGTAATCAAGAGATGTCATCGGTGCATTACCAGCTCGGTTTCATTTTGGCTCATGGAGGATGTACACAGAGGGTAAATTTTTTCATTCAAAGGAAGTGTTCAATGAACATACCCATCTTTGTCTGTTTATGTTGTGTATGTTTTTAAAGACAATGCAGATAAAGAGATTTACAATGCTTGAAATGAAGTGATTAATATGTGTTGCTTAGATTATGTTATTAATTTTAGTAAATTGTGTTTACATATTTGTAATAACTCAAGGCTTTTTTTAGGTCACCTGAGTCACTCAGGTGACCTATTGCTATCCGTTTTTGTCCGTCGGCGTGCGTCGTGCGATGTGCGTTAACATTTGAACATTTTCAGCTTCTTCTCTGAAACCGCTCAACCAATTTCAACCAAATTTGGCATATAGCATCTATGGGTAAAGGGGAACAAAAATTGTGAATTTCATGGTCCCTGCCCCCCTGGGGCCTGAGGGGTGGGGCTAAAACCACCAAAAATAATGCAATCTTTAAAAATCTTCTTCTTTACTCCTGTACACCAAGCAGTCAAACTGTTGGCATCATTGTAATAAGCATTGAGCCCTCTACCAAAATTGTGAAATTCATGGCCCCAGGGTCAGGGGTTCTGGCCCCAGGGTGGGGCTATATAGATCATATAGTGAAATGCATTATTTCTTTGAAAATCTTCTTCTCTGCTCCTGGGTATTGAATAAAGTAACTAAGTACATAGTTATGAAGAGCAAGAGTGCCTCTTCCAAAATTGTGAAATTCATGGCCCCAGGGTCAGGGGTTCTGGTGTTAGGGCGGGGCTCTATTGATTATATAGTGAAAATGCATTAATACTTTGAAAATCTTCTTCTCTGCTACTGGATATTAAATAAAGTAACTAAGTACATAGTTATGATAAGCAAGAGTGCCTCTTCCAAAATTGTGAAATTCATGGCCCCAGGGTCAGGGGTTCTGGTGTTAGGGCGGGGCTCTATAGATTATATAGTGAAAATGCATTAATTCTTTGAAAATCTTCTTCTCTGCTCCTGGGTATTAAATAAAGTAACTAAGTACATAGTTATGACGAGCAAGAGTGCCTCTTCCAAAATTGTGAAATTCATGGTCCCAGGGTCAGGGGTTCTGGTGTTAGGGCGGGGCTCTATAGATTATATAGTGAAAATGCATTAATTCTTTGAAAATCTTCTTCTCTGCTCCTGGGTATTAATTAAAAGAACTAAGTACATAGTTATGATGGGGAGGTGGGCCTCTTCCAAAATTGTGAAATTCATGGCCCCAGGGTCAGGGGTTCTGGTGTAGGGCGGGGCTCTATAGATTATACAGTGAAAATGCATTGATTCTTTGAAAATCTTCTCCTCTGCTCCTGGGCATTAAGGTGATAAACTAAGTATATAGTTATGATGAGGAGGTGGGCCTCTTCCAAAATTGTGAAATTCATGGCCACAGGGTCAGGGGTTCTGGTGTTAGGGCAGGGCTCTATAGATTATATAGTGAAAATGCATTAATTCCTGAAAATCTTCTTCTCTGCTCCTGGGTATTAAATAAAGTTACTAAGTACATAGTTATGATGAGCAAGAGTGCCTCTTCCAAAATTGTGAAATTCATGGCCCCAGGGTCAGGGTTTCTGGTGTTAGGGCAGGGCTCTATTGATTATATAGTGAAAATGCATTGATTCTTTGAAAATCTTCTTCTCTGCTACTGGAGACTATTTAAACAAACTAAGTGCATGGTTATGATGCATAAGGATGCCTTTTCAAAAATTGTGAATTTCATGGCCCCAGGGTCAGGGGTTCTGGTGTTAGGGTGGGGCTCTATTGATTATATAGTGAAAATGCATTGATATTTGAAAATCTTCTTCTCTGCTACTGGAGATTATTTAAACAAACTAAGTGCATGATTATGATAGACAAGGATGCCTCTTCCAAAATTTTTAAATATATGGCCTCAGTTTTTGGGGTTCTTGAGGAGGGGGGGGGGGGGGCTCTATTGATTATATAGTGAAAAAGCATTAATTCTATTAATTAATCATTAATTAATCCTGTCTGCTCCTTAGTGTTGAGCTGATAAATAAATTGCTTAGCTATGATGGAAATGGGAGCTTTGAACAGAATTTTTAAATCTTGTGGTCCTAGTGTGAGGGGTTCTGGCATAACGAGGGGGGGGGGGGGCTTTTGATAATATAGTGGAAAAGTGTTAATTCTTTGAAGTCCATAGTTATGATGATGAGGGTAACTCTTCCAAATTTGTAAATTTCTTGACCCTTGGTCTTGGGTTCTGGTGTTAGGGTAAGGCTTTGTTGAATCTGTAGTGAAAATGCATTGTACCTGAGAAATTCTTCTCTGCTTCTGGGCATATCGGAAGCAAACTGAGTAAAAGTTTAAATGATATGAGTAAGCGTATTTCTACCAGATTTTTAAACATCTGGACCATTCGTCTAAGCATTCTGGTCCTGGGCAGGGCTCTATTAATTTGTATTCTACTGAGAGAAGTTATTCCCCTTTTCCATTCACCTTTGATAATTAATCACTGTAAATAATGTATTTGAAAGGTTAATAGAAGAAGATAATTATGCAAGAATGTTTATCGTATAATTAAAAAAGTACTTTCTTAGTTTTCATAATCAGGTAGACCTGTAAGTAATAGATAAATAAAAATGAGACAAAAATAACTTATCTTATTAAAAGTTCTTCAAAGACCATAAGAGAGGTCAATGCTAGAGGTCTTAATATGGGTATAAAAATAGTACAGAAGCACTATTAGTTTGTCAATAGTCTGCATGGTGATAGTGTTAAGTGGGGGACATATTAGAACTTAATTTATGAGTTGATACTGAATACTAGACTAATTATTTTGTTGATCCTGATCTTCCTACTTCTCTTGCTTTAGGGCACATTGCTTCATCTATCAGTGTATTTAACTTCGAAATTGTTGTAATATATTCAGGTGACCGTTAAGGCCCTTGGGCCTCTTGTTTAGGATATTGACAGATTAGCCAAGTGCGGAATGACTGTGACAAGTAAATCCATGCACAGCAAGTTAGAAACCTGGATATCAAATTTAGATGCAGAGGTCATAGCACTGAAGAAGTCTTGGGAGGAGGGCCAAGAAAATACAACAAAATACCAGTTAATTGGTGACAATTGGGATAAAAAAATACTGCCATCCTACAGGTAAATTTTGTGTCTTATTTATTGGATATTTATTGGGTTTTGTTCAAATCAAAACTGGAAAAAATATAGAACATTATTATACAAAGTTTGTGTTGATAAACAGTATAGGTACATGCATCACTTTAGTAGAAATTTCAGTCTAGTTAAAATTATATCTATGTGCTCCCTATTTTTAAATATCTTAAAAATCAAAAATCAGGAAGCAAATAGTAGATATAATTTCAATTAGTTTGGTTTGTTATTTATAATAATGTAAGTTTACAAATCATAGTGACCATACACATCTTGTTCTATTTTGAAGGACCTCCCAGAACCAGACACAATCCATACATTTGTTTAATGTATTGATTGCTGTAGATAGAGTGCAAATACCTGTGGTAACTCCAGAAAGAGACCTAGAATATGCAGACATCTCTTTTGAAAAATTCGTGCCATCACTTGAAGAACAAGAAAAGTTGAAGGAAGAATTGGTTTTTATTACTGCAACATCTGTGATCAGGAACATTCCCCACCTTTCAAAACTTTTGGACAAAATATATCCCAAACATCTGCCACACAAGTATAGTGATCAAGCAGGAATTAAAACAGTACAAGTAAGTATTCCAGTTTAAAATGCAAAGATTAAATTCTAGGTATGAATTTATAGTGGATTTAAATTTATTGTCAAATTAAAACAATGCAAGTGATTTAATTTTTCATAAAGTATTCTTGTTTATGATAGGAATATGGTGTTGATATGATTTGTGGGTATGCTGATATTATGGTTATAAACTTATCATATAAATTAACATGCTTTCAAATTTCAGTATCCGTTAGGACTGTATGACTGTAATGAAACCAAAACAGCGGATGTCATCAAGCTCTTAAAAGAATTACAGCAGAAGTATGTTCCTCACAGAGATGGAGAGATTTGTGAGCCTGTTCTTTTTGGTGGTAAGTATAAGTGGTCAATTATTATACCCTCATACAACTTAATGGAAAGGGATAGAACATTGCTAACTGTATGCAAGTTGGTTTGTTTGTATGTTTGAAATAAAATCTTAGCACTTAGAATCATTAGACATAATTCTGAGGCATTGTATTAATAAATCAAACTATATTCATTTCAGAAAGAATTATTTCTTGAGAAAATCAATACTATTGAGTATCATTTGGGTACATATCAAATTTTATGTACAAGTTAACATGATTAACAAATGTGTTTAATTTGATACACAACATATTTGAAAACCTATTCTGTTGCAAGGAATGCTCCACTTGTGTGCTGATTGAAATTTGTATGAGATACTGTAAAAGTAATGTGTTAATTATGTTTGTTAAAACAGGTGACCAGCTTACTGATGAGCGCATTCAGTGTGCACAGGAAGCCATGCTTAATGGTAACACGTCTGATGATAGATTAGAAGGTTTCATATCCAAAATCGAGGATTTCCACAGATTAATGAATTTTTTAGAAGTAAGTACCTTATCTATGTATAATTTTATTTAGATAATGGTTTGCTACCTTCATGAAACCTTTCATCAATCTTAAAATTTAAGATTAGATAAACATTTCCTAATCATATGTTGAATTCTTAAATTAGTTAGATTAAAAAATATAACTTCAGAAAATTCAATTTTATTTTAGGCAATAGCAAAACTTACATACAATACCGGATCTGCAGGAGACAGAGGAACAGTTTATTACTTCAGAAATTTATTGAACCACAGAAGTGTTAAAGGGGATGTGAAAAATGTCTACCGTTCATACAAATATTTATATTACACCATCTTAGATGCCATTTGCTGTTATTTATTTCTGAAAGAAATGGATCTTGAGAATTTATCAGATTCCATTCCGCTGCCTCAACAATTTTACCAGTATACAGATGCAGACAAAATCTCATGGATAAATGACATATGTGAAAGGATCATTGAAAAATACTTTTTTGAGGGTTTCCTGATATTATGTCTTAGATTGTGTGACCGACAAAAATCATCCGGACAATTATTGGGTGTCAAATTTCAATGAAGGTAGAGTGAAATGTCATCATTGTGAAAAAACTTATGCGTATGTTGGCAGTCTGAAAGCACACGAAGAAAAAATGCATGGTGTTACTGTGTCAAAGAAACAAAAGAAAGAAAAAAAGAAAAGTAAAGATGAACTAAATGGATACATGTTGCTACTTTTTAAACTTTCACTGTTACACAAGAATTTGGATGATGCTGTTGACATGGCAGATGGTGTAAGGAGCATTAAATCAGCTAAATATGAGCTTCCTATTTATAACTATACTAACAAAACGAAGTATGCTATAGGTTCTATCCATTTGGTTGCAATGACGGAGGGGTTGCTTAGCGAGGAACTAAAACAACGCCTGACAGCAAACAGATTTATTAATCTACAGGGAGGAAAAAACAACAACTTGGCCTTAGACGAATATGTTGAACTTTTGAATAGAGACAGCAAATTTGCCTGCTCTGGCTTCCAAACCAAGGAGAGTATTTTAGCACACTCCAAGGAATTCCCCCATATTATTAACTCAACCAAACATATTGATGTGATTTGTGATATATCTGGTAGGAAGGATTTTCATACTGTACCTTCTTATTTGGAAGATGTTCAAAAGGTTTTTAAAGAACTTGCAGAAATAAATGCATTCTCCGTTGTTGATGGTCGAAAGTTGAAATGTGAAGGCATAAAAAATGACCCCAAAATTTATGATGAATGTTTTAACGGACTGTCTACTTTAATTGTAAGACATAAACCAGTAGTTGCTTATCACAGACTGCGAAATAAATATATTTGAAACACATGCTTTTTTCGTTACATGCATTTCAAGTAAGGTCCCCAAAAAATTGTTTGTTTGCCCTCCCCCAACAGACTGACTCGGATTTTTTTCTTTACAATGTGAGCATGCAAGTTTTATTTTAAAAAACAGATATCTATATTTTTTTGTACAACTTTGAAGAGTAAAAATACTTTCTCTACCAACAGACCTAAAGTTTACCAATATGCAGTGTTGGGAGAGGACAAACAACAAATTTCCTAAAGTTCACCTAGTGACAAAGAACTTTTTAATGAAAGAATAATCACAGGAATTCTTTTAACATGTTTAAGTGGTCAACTGTTAAAATAAGCTGATAAGGAAAAGATAAATGAATGGTGTGTTTCTTCATGGACATCAAAATAATATTGCCATTTTTCATAAAATAATTTAAAATGTTTATTGAAGGACATTAATTTATGAAATATTTTTTTTTCTCAATAAAATTAGGAAAAATAAAAATATGGAACACACTATTTATTTATCTTGGCCTAATTGGTCAGAGATTATGTTACGTGCTGGTTGTAACTAATGAAAGGGTCACAAAGAATAAAACAAAATTAAAACATTTATTATTCAGTATAATTACGGAAAAAAATGGTCAAAAAATTCATCTTCAACATAATCATATGAAACTGTGTCATCTGAACTGTCACTTGCAAGGTTAACATTTTCATCATCATTAAAGTTTATAGTCAGTAGTTTCTCAATATTAGATAATGATGACTGATCTGGATTGACTTTGGCACATATGTCACAACACAGAGATGATCCTGTATTTTTACCCAGATCATCGAGTTCTTGTTGATTTAGAAATGGCTGAAGTAATGCAAAACGTCTACATTTATCACTCTTGATTATATTTTTCACATCACTTTCAACTTTGCACAGATTAAATGAATTGTATAACAATAATGCAGTTGACGTTTGTCCATCTCTACCCACTCTTCCAATTTCCTGAATTAACTCGACAAAAGTTTTTGGTGGTCCATACAAAATGACATTGTAAAATTTTGCACAATCAACACCCATTCTAAGGGAACTTGTTGCAATAACTAGACGTAGATCACTATCAGGATTCTGAATAGCTTTAAGAATGATTTCTTTCTTTTCTGAAGGAGTTTCTGAATGGTACATTTCCACACATTTACAGTCTTGAATTTCAGTTATTATGTAACTATATAAACTTGAAGCAGTTTTAATAGAATTGCAGTAAAGTAGTGTTCTTGGTAATTTGTTTTCACTAACAGCATCTATAAGCCATGACATAGCAATCTCAAGAGTATTAGGGATTTTTACGACAACAAGCTTAATATTTTGTTTATCTGGTGAAGAAAATATTTGAACTGCATCCTCGGCTATATTCAAAATTTTCATTACTTTTTTAGAAATCCTCTTTGTACATGTAGCACTCAATGCTACTATTGATGCACATGGAAACAAAGATCCAAGCTCTCCAACATGATGGAACCATCTTCGGAAGGCTTCTTTTCCATTGTCATCATCTCCCCTGTAAGATATACTTAACAATAAACAAGATTTTGATGCATGGTCATGGAAAGGGGAAAATCAAGCAACAAGCTTTTTTTCTAGTTCTAAATTACATGTACATTGTATTATCTTACCAAGCTGAGATTGTATGGAATTCATCAATGACAATATTTGACACTTCAAAATTCTGAAGAACTGTTCTGAAGAATTTATCACCAACTAAACTTTCAGGAGAAGCAAACAAATAATCAAACTCTCCACTGGAAATGAAACCCTCTTCCTCTTCATCACCTATATTTAAAAATTGTAGGTCTACACATCATTCAATTAGTAATGATATGATGGTCATGCAGTACTTGAAGTTTCTAAACATGTAAAGCCAATACAACTAACTTCCAAATTAATTAATTGAATCCTATCTATGTGAATTACAAATTTATGAAACTAAAAATTGTTGTTTATCTTGAAATCAAATTCATGCACAGATTACGAAATTTTACAAGGGTAGGGGATAGTTTGAAATAATTTTTGTTTGGTAGGGGTTGGTGAGTGGCTATTTTCGATAGCTTTAATACGATGTGTAACAACTTTGAAATTTAAAAGGGAGGGGGAGGGGGTCCGGACATCCCTTTTCTAGATCACTCAAGAAACATTCCAACGTATTAAACAGTTAATATATAGTTAATTCAGCGCTCCTAAGCAATTTGTAATTTTGTATGCTGTACAACCGTACAATATTTGATTTAAAATTATATAACTTACCTCTGAATTTTGCTTTAATGCCCGGAAGACAGTTAAGTCTTGTCACTTGGTCCTTCATCCATGCGACGAGGGGACAACACACAATGATTTTTTCGTCTGCATCATCGCGATGTAAAAATCTCTTTACAGAAATGGCAATTTGGAACGGAAGAGACTTTCTGTAGCCGGTCGGTAGTACGGCTATGCAATCCTTTTTCTTGAGGACTGCCTCTAATATCTGCATTTGTTCCTTTTTTAACTCATTAATGTGAAAGAATGGCAATACTTTTTCTAACGCAACTTTTAGTTCTATGTCCGCCATTTTTTTTTTTTACATTTCCGAATGTCGATAAAATACAAGCAATCTGATTGGTCAGATTTATCATGAATATTAAAATCTCAAAGGTCACCAGGAGATGACCCTCTATTGGGCTTCCTCAGATCCTCGTAAGCGACATATCCTTAAAAAAGGAGCATCGAGGATCTGATTTTACTCGTAAGCGACATATCGTTAAAAAAGGAGCATCGAGGATCTGATTTTAATCAGATTGCAATAATGTCTTAGATGGAAAACTAAAAAAAAATTTACAAGAAGGGCTCTCTCGACCAACAAAGCACAAGGCTGTTATTCCTAAAAATGATCTTAATAAAATTTCAGCGTACCTTTATGGAGATTCAACACCTGTGTCTTTAAGATTCCGCATCTGGTTTTTAATCGCTATTCAGTTTGTCAGCAGGGGACTTGAGTTTCACGAGCAACTAAAGGTCGACTCATTTGAGTTTCACTTCGATGAAAATGGACATGAGTATGCTGTTTTGTCTCATGAAACTAAACAAAAAAATTGGCAAGGGGGCATAGATGTGTCTGTAACCCCTAAGGAAAAAAGAATGTATGCAGTACCAAATGCAGGGGAACACTGTCCAGTCAACTCTTTAAAGCAATACCTCTCAAAGATGGACCCTACTGCAACATTTCTTTTCAACAGATGTTCAAAAGAAGCGTTATCCTCTCCAACAACCGAGGAAATTTGGTACACTAACGTTCCTATCAAAAAATACAAATTCACACGTTTTATGGCTGACATTTGTAAAAACGCAAAATGTGAAAATTCTTACACTGCACACAGCTTACGTGCAACCTCCATACAAGGCATGAACGATGCAGGATTTGAAGTGCGACACATTATGCACATGAGTGGCCATAAAAACGAATCCTCTGTAAGAAGTTATAGCCGAGAATGTGCTACTTACCAGAAGGAGTCAATGAGTAGAGCTTTGTCTAATCTGATCGTCCCACACACTGAAATAAACGAAAATGTTCCACAGGTTACAGGATCCAGCCATGCCGCCACATGTAAACATCTAGACGTCTCAGCTCCAAAAACAACATCAGCAGAAATACCGATTGCTTTCCAGTCATCTACCTTCTCCTCTGGATTCATATCAAATTCTGCTTTTCACCAATGTGTCTTTAATTTCACATCCAAGTAGATATAACTTACACTACAGAGCTTGTTATGGCTAACATGTTGTTGACTTCCGAAAAAATGACCGTCGATTGAAGCTCGTCGATCTCTAGATCACCTCGTTACTAGGATGACGTATTCTTACGGGGTTAAATTTAAAATTGTATAATTTTTACGAAATAAAATTTGTTATTTTGAAACATTTTGTGTTGAAAATTAAATTATAAGGAATGAATTATTATTTTTTTTAATTTGATACGATATAAAATGGTTTGGGGCAGTTTACGCTTTTTTATAAACGAAGCGGTTTATAAAAAAGCGTAAACTGCCCCAAACCATTTTATATCGTATCAAATTAAAAAAATAATAATTCATTCCTTAAAGAAGAAATTCTCTTTTTGTTAGTTGGGGGTTGTGACGAAAAGGAAGTAGAAGGTTGTGGGGAGATGTAATTGACATGCTGAAATTCAGATGCGGAATCAGTGTCAGAGGAATTGACAGAGGGAGGTGGTGCAGTGAAGAGTGAGAAGCGGTAGGTTGTGAAATTGTCCATTGGGTAGAATAAGAAGATGATGTTAAAGATTTGGAAAACTGAAAAATATTTTTTAAAAACAATTAATAAAAACTACTTGATGCATAATTTCTTAAATAACCATACACCTTTATATTGCCAATATTTAATAAATGTTCTTTCCCAATTTACATTTACGATTAATGCATGCTGTCTTTTCATTCATTCTTCAAAATATGGGGTGCACCAATGATTGCTTTTGTCACTTGTGGGTTTAATTACCACAAGGACTTCTGCATTTGTGGTAGCATGAAGTTCCTTTGCCTATAAGATAAGTTAAGGACATTGGCAAGGTTCCTGGTTATAGTATAGAATTTTTCAAAAACTCTTGAGTAGGTATAAATGTACTAAACAGGCTATATTCTGGAATGTTTGACTACCAAGCCAATCTTCTTTTTTAGATTCTGTCAAATCAGTGTTTTTGCAATTCTCAATGCATTTCCTATGTAAAATGTTGATAAAAGGGACCTACATAATTTTTCACCATAATTTTTCTCCAAAACCCACTTATTTTATATAGTTTTTGTACTATATACATTATTGCATCTTCATTTCCTATGATTTCTAGATATTTTGGCTGAAAATGTATATATAGAAACAAGACAAAGACATACCGGCACCTTTATTTTTGAGTTACTTCCCTTCACAGCTATAATTACGTATTATTCATAATGGTCAAGAGAGTCAGACTGGTTGAGTGGTTCTATCATGTATTTGATTGAATTGAAACACATTGTCTTAAAAATACTGGCATGGATTTATTTCAAATTTTACTCGTAGTTACTAAATGCTTCTTCCTTCATACAACCTGAGAACTGATCTCAGTCGGTCTACCTTTCAGCATATGTCACTACTCTGCCCTTCCCAGTATACTGAGCATAACTAGGGTAAATGACGACCTGTTGGCTACTTTGTCCCCTGAATACAATTTACTACAAAGCCATTATTACTTTTCTTTCTTGCTGTATAGATGATTCTACCCGTAGAAGGAAGTACACGTGCTTTTATTTACCTCTGTTAACATACGCTTTATTGGTTTTCACCGCTTAGAGAATTCTACACGAAAGATCACTAAAATCACTATTACATAAGTGAAAAAACCATGTATTAAACCTTTTTTCTCCGGAAAACCTTGACTTGCCAATGTCCTTAAATGAAAGATATATATGAATTAAAATAAATAAATGAAATTTGTGTAATTCCTTTATTTTTATGATTTAAATTCTACAAATAAGATAAAATTAGCAGCTAATTTTTAAAAAAAAATATTTTTTAAAGATTCGTGAAAACATCTACACCGTCTTTGGAGTTCACGAAGAAAGAAGTGATACTATTTATGACACTAATCTCGAGGTGCAAATAAAGAACTTGAGGATCGAGATAAGAGAATCGGAGTATTTGACTACACCATTGCAGGACAGACCTCCCTGTAGCATTTAAGAAAAAACTTTAGATGAGGATATACATGAAGTAAATTTTTCCTCCAAATGTAAATCAAATTTTATTGACTTCATAAAATGCTGATCTTAAAGCAAGAAAATGCCTTATCCTCATTTTCATCACCCCTGAGGATAGAAATTCATTTAACAACATTATGAGCAAGACAAAACAAGAGATCATTAAAATCATTGATACAGAATTACAAACACAGAAAGAAATTGATTGTGACATGAGTAATTTAATTCCTCTATTAATAAATATTCATATGATTTTATGTTTCATTATTTATTCTTTCTGTCATTTCTGCGTTAAATAATTCTTATAAGTTATCAGGAGACGAAAAATTGCAGTGTGGAGAAAAATTAAAAACGAGAAGAAGGCATTATTAATAAAACTTTATAAAAACTTAGTGTAGTTGAGAATAGAAATGGATGAGCAGGGGTTTTTTTTTCATTTCTATGAGAAACTCGTTATAGTTATTTCATGGTTTAATTCTATATTTGATAAACTTTACATAATAACCTTTTTAAATGATGTATTCTTTCTCTGGTAAAGAGACTGCGCCCTCTTGTGTCCATCCTCCAAAAAAGCATTGCCCGTCTCCCCACTTTCAGGCTTTCCTCTCTTTTCTTGTCCTTTCTGGTTCTTTCCATAATTAAATTGATTTTTTTAACTTATGTAATTTATTGTCCTATGAAAGAAATGAAATTTTTTAATAAATACTACATAACCCCCAACCCCTACCCCTTCCTTGCGTTCAAATGGCCTTTATCGCTTGAAAAGAATCACCTTGTGCATCTTTAAATCGTCATTTCTTTAATATTTACATTTTTTAACTTTAAATGGATCACATTCTAGACTTGTTTATTTTAACAATTACGATCGTGATGTAATACTGTATTTTTAACACTATTTATGCTTCTATAGAAATCGACCTGGAAGATGCAGATTCGCCCTCTTCCGACTCAATTATTTAGTTCCGAAGTTTCATTTCCGGTACAGACATTCCTTGATAGACCATCGAAGCAGTCGGTGAGTTTTTAAGCATATTAATTCATTGCTTTTCTACATAGGTAGACATCCACTGTGGACAAGAATACATTTTTCAAGTATAAAATTTTTGAACCATCTTATTACTTCCAAGAATACTTTAGTATTTAAAATCTATAATGCAACAGTCAAAACAAACTCATGGACTAAAAATATTTTTTTTTCAATTTTCAACAAGTTAGGATTTTCATTCATTAGCAAAAAAGAAAATTCAACAAAGTCACTTCTGAGAAACATAAAACAAAGAATATCAGATCAATGCTTACAAGAGGAATATGCGCAGATTCATAATTCATAAAAACTAAAATGTTATCAAGTTGTTTTTAATAATTTCAAACGCTGTGGATACACTGATATATTAAAAAAGAAAACAGAGAGATCAATTATTAGCAGGTTGAGACTATATGCACATAACCTTGCCATAGAAAAAGAGAGACATTTGTCTATACCCACAGATAAAAGATTTTGTAATATTTGCAACACAGGGGAGATTGAAGATGAATTTCATTTTCTATTCAGCTGCCATAAATACAATAATCATAGGTGAACCTTTGAAAGGAACTTGCTGAATTTTTTTTTCAAGGAAAAATATCAAATATGACTTATACTCAAAAAGTTAAGCTTTGCTTAAATAGCCATACTGAAATACTGAAAATAACACACTCACTTATTAAAAAATGTCTTGTATCTAGAAATAATTGCATTATATAATTACTGTACAAATGATGGTATGATTTATAATTATGTATAGCCTCACATTCTATACTAAAATATTGTATATTTATGTATGAACAA